AGCAAGGCGTCCTGGTTCAAAGCCCACCAGGCCTATTTTTTTTTTTTTTAATATCAATTTTGAATATAACAACATCTGGTGATAAATATAGAAATTGCAACTCGCTGACATCATTCCATCAGGCGAGATAATCGCGCACCTCTTTTGATATAAACCAGCCGTCTCACCGTTGTGGCGTGTCAAGTTTTTTGTATAAACAAGTTTCTTTTTTTTTTTTCATTTATATATGTGTATATGCATGCGTTTGTGTATTTACCTGTCCCTACATATTGTGCACATTCAGCCACGCTTACCGTCCTTCAGAGGACCGCGCTCAGCGCCCCTCCAGGAATCCAGCCTTATTTTGTTTTTTTTATAATTATTATTTTTTCTGTGGTTTGGAGTGGCGTTTCATTTTTGAGTATTCGAGAATAAAGATTAGCCGATCAGTTATGTAGGTGATGCTTTGGTCGTTACACTACTACTACTACACAGTTAATACAGTATTTAAAATAAATGAGCCCTTATTAGAGAGGCAGTTTCTTATTACCCAACCTACATCCATATACATATATTAAATATATTCTCACTTAATTTGCATTGAATTGGATTCGTACCTTCCAATTTCTGATAATACCAAGTCGTGTTTTTTGAAACATATTAAACCAAATCAAGGTATCCTAAGGCATGTTTATTAGCCAATAGCGCGATGCACAACGTGTCACATTATTTAATCAATCGCAGACCACCCTTTAACGTGTTGACCAGGTTGTTTCAGGATAGTTAGATGTATCGTTCTTTATGATTTGATTAATAATCCAGATAGTTACGCACACTAGTTAAACAGTCGTACCAGCTATTTTGTATGTACCTGTGTGTCAGATCGTGTATATAGGTAGTTTACTATGCGTCTGTATCAGCTATAGCCTGTTGTGTGCGTACTAGGTTATACAATTGTTTGGAACAACACATCCAAGGTCCCTGGTTCAAAGCTCCATTCTGCCTTCTTTTTTTTTTTTAATGTTATTTTTATATTTAGTATATCATATAGTAGGTATCCAAATTGACCTATTTTGTTGCCTAAACTGTAATACCGTGGCATAAATTAAGCCGTTGAGTTGTGGAAAGTTTTTAGAGATATCATACTGCTGACTTCACCATATCTTTCCAGATTATTTCGCACAGCTAGAGCAGTATTCCCACGAGAAGTTGCACATGTTGGGGCATCGCACATATTTCTATTAGTGCTTAAGTCGTGTTTTTGCACTATTTATGGTAGTGCAAATCCGGGTAGTCCATATTGTGTTTTATGATCAGGAGTGCGGCGTACATCATATTTCCAATGGGAACACTCATCCAAGCCAAGACACTCTAGTTCACTCCCTTCTGCCTCATTTTTTTTTTGTTTCACAATAAAATAATAATTTTCCTCTTTTCCCATATAAAATTCTGTTGGTGTATGATGAATAATGTAATAATTACTATTGTTTTTGGCTGTTTGGGGATCTAGTATTTATTACATCTCCAGTTATTCTGATCCAATGGAGGGAAGCATCGAGAATAAGCGGAGCATCAGGAGTTTTGGACACAGCCAACCATATGTTGTCGTTTATGTCCTACCCATGTATATGTGGAATTTCTGTAAGAGCAATTCTGAAGAAATGTTATACCATAAGGCTTATTAAGAGGCCAGTTCCAATAGTTCCAGTTAGCATAGCGCAAGTGGTTCATCAACCTGCCCCAGAAATCTCCAGTTCAAGTCCCGTCAGTGGCATCTTTTTTTTTTTTTAATTAATATTATTATCCTTATATTTTTATATATTAAGCATATATGTATATTTTATTGTTATTTTTATTAATATCAATTACATGTGAGAGGTTTTCCCGCAAGAATATCAGTTATGGAATAATAACGATTTACTATGCCTAATATGGTCGCGTCAACCCAAGGCATTTCAGTTCAAGGATCCATTCTGTCTCCCTTTTTATTTTTTTTAATAATAAAAGAGCTGTTTTTAATTGAAGATATATATATATATATATTTTAAAAGTGCTTTTTATAGGGGCATGGTAAGTAGTATATATTTATTATTGTTTTGGCCATTACGCGTTCTCCAAGCGATAATAGACCGTCAAACCGTCCTGGAGACGCCAGTACAATTCCCGTCCTGACAACCCGCATATTGCTACAATTATATTATATTTAGTTTTGGGTATAATTTCAGGGTGAGGCACTCCATTAAGAATGACAGATATAAGCTCAGAACGGGACAGTATTTTATGTCATGGTCGTGCCGCGACAATGGCTTATTGGCTATAGAACAGCACTCAGATCCAAGAAGGCCCAATAAATATAGGTCCAGTGTGGGTAATAGTTGTGTTTTAGTTGTTTTTGGACTCGTATTAAACCAATTAAGGTATCCTAAGGCTTGTTTATCAGCCAATAGCGCGATGCACAACGTGTCACAATATTTAATCAATCGCAGACCTCGCTTTAACGTGTTGACCAGGTTGTTTCAGGATAGTTAGATGTATCGTTCTTTATGATTTGTTTATTGATCCAGATAGTTACGCGCACCAGTTAAACAGTCGTACCAGCTATTTTGTATGTACCTGTGTGTCAGATCGTGTATATAGGTAGTGTACTATGCGTCAGTATCAGCTATAGCCTGTTGTGTGCGTACTAGGTTATTCAATTGTATGGGACAACACATCCAAGGTCCCTGGTTCAAGCTCCATTCTGCCCCTTTTTTTTTTTAATATTATTTTTATATTTAGTATATCATATAGTATGTATCCAAATTGACCTATTTTGTTGTCTAAACTGTAATACCGTGGCATAAATTAAGCCACTGAGTTGTGGAAAGTTTTGAGAGATATCATACTGCTGACTTCACCATATCTTTCCAGATTATCTCGCTGCCTCATTGAAGTAGAATTGCCGGTTCATTGCGATGGCGTTTTGGATTAATACAACTTTTGTCTAGACCTGAATATTTGCACAGGCCCACATTATACACGAATACGTATTTAGATATACGCGCATTTCCATTCCCCAACTGAATTTTGCACATTAAATCAAGGATATCATCTGTGGCCAAATATTACATGGTTTTGAGTTGCCCTGGTGTTCCTATATTGAATTGGTGTGTTAGGTTTCTGATATATTCTAGAAGACCTGTTGGTATTGCAGCGGGTGTCATAAATACACTTATTCAGGTATATTTTAGGATCAAGTAGTGAGTCCGCGCTGTGTTGTATTAAGCTGATGTTATGAAGATATGGTGATTTGGTGGTGTGGTATATCAGATGGTATTGTTATCTAAGTTTCGTGTGTAGAAGCTTAAAGTGTTTGAAATATTATTGGAGGGTGGATCTACAAAGTTTCTTTGTAGACGAGTTTAATGATAATGAAGTTTTGACAGGGAGCCGTGTAAGAGATGTTTTTGGAAGGATTTTTTAGAGCAGTTATATTTTCTTCGCTTTTCCAAAATATGCGCCTCGTTGTATTGATCCTTTACTTGGTCGAACCCTACTTCTTAGGGACTGACCAGAGGCACAGCTAGAACAGTATTCCCACGAGGAGTTGTACATGTTGGGGCATCGCACCTATTACTATTAGTGCTTAAGTCGTGTTTTTACACTATTTATGGTAGTGCAAATCAGGGTAGTCCATATTGTGTTTTATGATCAGGAGTGTGGCGTACATCATATTTCCAATGGGAACACTCATTCAAGCCAAGACACTCTAGTTCAAGGCTTCCTTCAGCCTCATTTTTCATTTCACAATGAAGAATCATTTTCCTTTTTTCCCATATAAAATTCTGTTGGTGTATGA